AGCCCCTTCTCATTAGGAGGAGATGGAAACTAGTACCCCTCTCCTTGAATCTGGACTGGCTTCGTGACTTGCTTTGACCAACAGAATGTGGCAGAAGGTGTGAGTTTGGAAGATAAGTCTTATCCTTAATTCCCACTTTGATTCTCTTGGAATGCTGCCTCCTGATGCCCCATGTAAGGAAGCTGATCTAGCCCAGGAGCTGACAAAGCTTTTCTATAAAGGACCAGGTGGTAAACGTTTTTGGCTTTGTGTGCCATAGCCACAGTTCCAATAGGAGTCTCTACTTACAGAAGCCCAAGTTTGAATTTCGTAGGATTTTCACGTGTCAGGAAATATTAGTCTTTTGATATTCTTCAACCATTCCAAAGTGTAAAGACCATTCTCAGCCTCTGGTGAACCAGACGTGGTCTGTGAGCTGTGGTTTGCAGACCCCTGTTCTAGCCTATTGGATAAGAGGTCACATGGCGGTATTGACCTTAAAATGAAAACAATTATTTTTTTTATTTTTATTTTTTTGTTAAATTTTTTAATGATTTTATTTATTTTTGAGACAGACAGAGACAGAGCGTGAACGGGGGAGAGTCAGAGAGAGAGGGAGACACAGAATCCGAAGCAGGCTCCAGGCTCTGAGCTGTCAGCACAGAGCCCGATGCGGGGCTCGAACTCACAGACTGTGAGATCATGACCTGAGCTGAAGTCGGACGCTCAACCGACTGAGCCACCCAGGCGCCCCAGGAAACAATTATTGTACCAACAAAATGGGCTTGTTCAGGAATAGCAGAGAATTGCAATTCGGAACAAGCAAGCTACGCAAAAACCACAGGCATGTCCAGCAAAGGAGAGGACTGCGATTTTTTGGAGAAAGAGGAAGTTGGGAGGGGTTGTTTTGAAGGGAAGTCCATTGGAGTTCAGGGTGATGATGGTGTCTCATTGGCTGAGGCGATTGAGTCCAGCAGGGGGACTGCCCAGCCAGACAGATACAGTTGATCCCTGTTGTATGAATCCACTCCAGTTCGGGGTGATCTGTTACACAGCAATAGCTAACTGGGACACCAGGTCTAGAAGATTTTTCCAGGTTTAGAAAAACATGAGAGACTCTGAAAGAAACTTCGGATTGGCTTTAAACAATAAGAAAGGAAGTCACAACATCTCCATTCCCAAGACGTATTTCATGTTGCCAAGGTTTTGTGAATGACCTCAGTCCCGATATGTCCTTGTTACATTCTGTTTTTTTTTTTTCAACGTTTTTTATTTATTTTTGGGACAGAGAAAGACAGAGCATGAACGGGGGAGGGGCAGAGAGAGAGGGAGACACAGAGTCGGAAACAGGCTCCAGGCTCCAGGCTCCGAGCCATCAGCCCAGAGCCTGACGCGGGGCTTGAACTCACGGACCGTGAGATCGTGACCTGGCTGAAGTCGGACGTTTAACCGACTGCGCCACCCAGGCGCCCCATGTTACATTCTGTTTAGAAATGGTTTCCCCAGATTTTCCTCACTCTCGCGACTCGTGTCGCGAGTGCAAAAGATGCACCAAGAACAAAATGATCTCGAGGACAGAGGACTCTTCTATAATGTTTGTGAGGTGCCAGGCTTTTGTTCTCAGAACAGAAAAGAAATAAACATTAAAAAAAAATAAACAAATAAAAATGTCTCTAGGCATTGCCAGGTGTCTCCAGGGGCAGTTGAGAACTACTGCGTATTTATTTATTTATTTATTGACAGACAGTATGAGCAGGAGAGGGGCAGAGAGAGAGGGAGACACAGAATCAGAAGCGGGCTCCAGGCTCCGAGCTATGTCAGCACAGAGCCCCATGTGGGGCTCGAACTCACCAACTGCGAAATCATGACCTGAGCCGGAGTCGGACGCTTAACCGACGGAGCCACCCAGGTGTCCCGAGAACTACTGCTCTAACCCTTTATTCTGTTGTAGTGGGTTGAGTGGTGGCCCCAGAGAGATCTGTCCGAGTCCTAACCCCGGAACCTGTGACCGTGACCTTATTTGGAGAAAGGGTCTTCGCGGATGTAATTAAGAATCTCAAGATGAGATCTTCTTGGATTATGGAGGTAGGTCTTAAATCCAATGGCAAGTGTCTTTGTAAGAGACAGAAGAGGAGACACACGGGGAGAAGGCCGTGTGAAGACGGAGGCCGAGTGACGTGGCCACAGCCGAGGAATGCGTGGATCCTCCCCTAGAATTTCCAGAGGGAGTGTGGCTGTTGACATTTTGATTTCGGACTTCTGGCCTCCAGAACTGTGAGAGAATAAATTTCTGTTGTTTTAAGCCACCTGGTTTAACACTTTGTGATACTTTGTTATGGCAGCCGCAAGAAACTAATACCCCTGCTTGTGGTGGGCACATGAATTTGGCGGAGAGAAATTGTTCACTCCCACGCGGTGCTCATGGTCTGTTTATAATGAAACCCCCAAGCTATGATCTTTCAGTATTTTACTTTCAATGGATGCTTCATTTCTCTCCTTCTGCAAAGTTCTAAGAACTCCCTTCGCCGTGGCCTGCACCCCAGGGAGGGAGATGCACGGTTGGCTGTGCCCCTACGCCCAGCAGGTGCCTGGCCCATTCATTCCGCGGATGCGAAACCCCTATGGCGCAGTGGTGACCAAGAAATATTTGATGCACGGCGTTCCAGGAGGCGGGCATTATCACCCAAGGGCAACCAAGGTACAGAGGGGAGAGGTGACCAGTCCAAGGCCACCAGCTGGAGAGGGGTAGAACCTGAGTCTGTCCCCGTCTCCAGGCCTCAGTTTCCATTTCTGTGAAATGGAGGTAAGACAGGGCTTCATCTGGAAAACCAGGCGACGGTTGTATTTCAGAACTGGGAGTTTTTGGTAGCTTAAGGAGATAATTGAGGGTGAAATCTGCTGTATCTTCCGTGATGCCCCTGGGGCTCTCGGGACAGCCCTTAAGCAAAGGGATACATAAGGGATAAACAGGGATACAAAGGAATAATTGACCACTGAAAGCAGTGACAGCAGACTGGGTCAGCACAGGGGGAGGTGGTCCCTCTGTAACCGGAAACTGCGTTCTCCTCCTGGTGGGTGTCCAGCTGAAAGACAACCAAGCCAAGAGTGGGAAAAGGAAGGGTTTTATTTGCAACAAGTAGGGAGACCACTGAGGATATTTCTCCCAAAGCACTGTCCCCGCCCCCCCCCCAGACAACAAAATTGGGGAAGTCTGAAACTAAGGGTACATGCATATTCATGAAAGGGCTTGGCAAAGGAGAGCGCTGTAGAGAAGTGGGGCAAAAGTCATCGATGTTTGAGTGTTCCAGGAGTTTAAACCCTGCAAAGATTCAAGAGTGTGGTGGGTCCATCTTTCCCTCTGAAACAGCAGCGGGAGTTTTTTTTTTACCACCAATATACTGTCTCTGATGTGGTGAGGTTCTCCCCTGGCCGGGTAGTGGCTGTTTTTAATTCCTTTTGTTCCTTTAAAATCGTTAACTACGGAGGTCTTGTGATTTTAACAGATCCCAGGACGTTCTGCAAGAAATGTGGTTGGGCATTTCACAAAGTGGCTGGGGACCTAAAATGACTTCTCTTATGTTAAGAAAGTTACGGCTTGTCTTTCTTTTTCTTAATGTTTTTATTTATTTTTGAGACAGAGAGAGACAGAGCATGAGCAGGGGAGAGGCAGAGAGAGAGGGAGACACAGAATCCGAGGCAGGCTCCAGGCTCCGAGCTGTCAGCACAGAGCGTGATGCGGGGCTTGAACTCACAGACTGTGAGATCATGACCTGAGCCAAAGTCGGACGCTCATCTGACTGAGCCACCCAGGCATCCCAAAGCCTTGTCTTTCTTTTTTCGGGAACCTCTCGCCCTATTTGCCTACACCTGCATCTGGAGTTCTGACAGTTCCGGCCTGAAGAAACAAGTTGGGTTTCCAGAGCCTTTTGGATTTGGGGATTTCAGCCTGAGGACCTATAAGAGTATCTCCAGGAGCTGTGGGCACACTTGGGAGAGATTGCTTGTCTGGGGCACTATTTAGTCAGGTCTCAGTAAACTCTGTAAGATGGAGAAGAGGAGGAACGGGGAGAGGAAGAAAGAGGAAGAGGAGGGGGGAGGAGGAGGGAAGCCAGGAGGGCAGGGGAGGAGCTAAGAGTCGGTTAAGCGTCCGACTTCAGCCAGGTCACGATCTCACGGTCCGTGAGTTCGAGCCCCGCGTCAGGCTCTGGGCTGATGGCTCGGAGCCTGGAGCCTGTTTCCGATTCTGTGTCTCCCTCTCTCTCTGCCCCTCCCCTGTTCATGCTCTGTCTCTCTCTGTCCCAAAAATAAATAAACGTTGAAAAAAAAAATTAAAAAAAAAAAAAAGAGGAGGGGCCGGGAGGAGAGGGATAGAACAGAAGAGAAACGGAAGGAAGTGGGGCGGGGGAGGAGCAAAGAAGGGGGAGAGTGGAGGAAAGGGGGAGGGGAGGAAGAAACCTGAAGAGGGAGAGGAAGAGGAGGTGAGAGGGAGGAAGTGGGGAAAAATGAAGGAATCTGGGTGGAAGGAAGGAGGGGGAGGAGAAGTTTGAGGAAGGAGACAAGGGGAGGAAGAGGGAGAGGAGGCAGCGCAAGCCTCCAGGCCACGTTTGTGAATGAATGACTCCCAACTCTAGCTAGCGTGACAGCTCCAGTCCTCAGTTTCTTGGCCTGTAAAATGGGGATGATCACAGTAGTGCTACCTGGCAGGATAAGAGTGCAGCTGTAGTTACCGGTCACTGCTGACTGCCGATCCCTGCCCAAGGAAGTAGCAGACCAGTGGCTGGCTCTGGGCCTGTCCTCCTGATCTGCCTCCTTGCCCCCCATTCCACCCACCCTGGGCAGCCGCAGGCACCAATGGTAGCACGTGGGAGGGGTGGGAGCCTGCCCAGCCCTGTCCTCCAAATGGCGCTGGAAGCCGGCCCTGGCCGCCTCCCAAGGAGAGCGCTGGGAAGGTCGGCCAAAGCAAGGCAGAAAACAAGCAGGGGTGGGGTGGGCAGGGGGGCAGAGGAGGGGGAGCTTGGAGGGAGGGATCCAAGGCAGTGGCCTACATGGGCATAGCGCAGGCAGAGCAGGGCCCAGGAGTCTGCAGAAACAGAGGGTCTGGAGGACCCACCTTCTCGGGCTAGGTTTGGAGTTCTCTGTCTTGGCCTCATCGTCCCCGCCTGAGCTTCTGGGAACCCACGGGGAACCGGCCAAGACTGAGGGTCTGTGAGCCGCTCCAGGTCAGCCAGGGACCAGGGTGGTGGGCAGTCAGGCGGGCGCTAGCCCGTGCCTGATCGGGAGGAGGGCTTTTGGGTCTCTGGGTGGGCATTTAGGACCTTGGGTACGGGAGGGTGTGGGGACCCTGGTGTGCGGATTTTGCCCTCCCTGGGCTCTTGGGGTGTTAAAGAGATTTAACTGACGAGATTTTGCGATATAGGTTTGGGATTAGTTGGGTCCTTGAAATGGATCATTAAGACAGATGGGGTTTAGAACCTTCTGAGGGTCCTAGGCTGTGAGTTTAGGACTCTTCGGGTCCCCGGAATGTGTATTTAAGACCCAAGAGGCTATGGTGCTTGGATATAGGACAAACTGGGGCAAGAATCCAGTACACACAGGCCCTGAGTGTGAACTGGGATTTTCTGGTGCCCAGGGGTAGGAATCCGTGTGCCCTCTAAAGCTCAACCCGAAGCCACGCCCCTAGGCTGCGGGAGCACGTGCTTTCTAAACGCCGCGCGGGGGCGGGCGGAGGGAGGGCCGTTTGGTTGTCTTGAAGACAGCTGCGGCCGTCTCTGGGCCGTTCTAGCCCCGGGGTCTCGTTGGCCGTCGTCTCTCTGGCCCGGGGCCTCTCTCTATGGTCGTGGCCTCCGGAAAGAGGCGGGCCTTGGCTAAGCGGCTGAGGAGCTCCGGCGCTTGACAAGTCGGAAGAGGGCCTTGGGGCGGGCCTGGGCTGGCAGGTGGGGAGGGGCCTAGGGCGCTAGGTGGGCCAGTGTGGGGCCCGGAGGGTGACGATTGGGGTAAAGCTCGAGGGAGGAGCCAGTGGCCAGGGGTGGAACCTGTGCCTGGGATAAGGGGCGGGCGAAGCCCGGGGCTAGGGGAGGGGCCTAGCGTGGAATGGGCGTGGTATGCATTTGTGGGCGGGACCATATCGTTGACTGGGGGCGGGGCCAATGGGTGGTGGAGGAAGGGTAGAAGCGGGACTTCGGGGGAAAGCTCAGGACCTGTTGGCTGGACGGGCTTGGGAACGGGGAAGATCCTGTAACTGAAGACAACGGCTAGGTCAAGGCATGGGGAAGGGCTGGTCAAGTTACGGGGAAGCGACTGGGTCCGTGGTAGGGAAGAGGTGGAGCCCATGCTTGGAGCCAGGTCGTGAGGATGGAGCTTGGGTTCAGAGTCCAGCCTCTAGGTCAAGACGTGGGGCAGGGCTTGATAGTGACTGACGGAGGGGAAGAGCTGCGTCTGAGGGCGTGGCCTGTAATAATGATTGGCAAAGAAGCCTGAGGAGGGTTAGGAACCAGGAAGCCTGTATCCAACATGGGATAGGGGCGGGGCCCTGATCCAGGGGCGGAGCCTGTCCGGAACACGGCCAATTCAGGCAGGAGGGCGGGGCCCAACCCGAAGGCGGTGGCCTGGGCTCCCCGAAGAGGCGGAGCCGGGGCCGGGGGGCGGAGCCCGGTTGGCTGTGGGGCGGGGCCCCAGCGGCCCGCGGCCTCAGCGCTCTCCGCCTCCCCAGGATGCGGGCTCCGGGTGCAGGTTCGGCTTCCGTGGTCTCGCTGGTGCTGCTGTGGCTGCTGGGGCTGCCGTGGACCTGGAGCGCAGCGGCGGCGCTCGGCGTGTACGTGGGCGGCGGCGGCTGGCGTTTCCTGCGTATCGTCTGCAAGACCGCGAGGCGGGACCTCTTGTGAGTGCATTCGCGGCCTGGTCCCCCGCCGGCTGCGCGTCCAGGGGGTGGTCAGAGGTGGAGGTTGCAGCGGCGGCGTTGGGGGGTCCTGAGGGCTTGGGGAGAGGGGTTTTGGATACTGGGGGCGAGGCTTAGGTGAGGGCGGGGTTAGGGGCGGGGCCGGGACCTGAAAGAGTGCCGGGTAGGGGGTCACTGAGGGGAGCTGCAGGGGACAGTTTGAGGGTCTCTGGAGGGAGATGAGTAGGTTTCAGGCTTCTAGGGGCTGCTTTGGAGACTTCAGGGCACTGGAAGGTAACTTGGAGATCTTTGGGGGAGCTGGTTGGGGTTCCAGAGAGCTGAGGCTGATTGGGAGCCCCTGGGTATTTGGGGGTCTCTGTGGGGACTTGGTGACTGTGACAGGCCTCTCGGGGCTCTTCAGGGATTCTGGTAGGTCCCTAGGGTCCCACAGTGGTGACCCAGTGGTCTCTGGGGGCTGCCAAGACACTTTGGGTTTACTTAGGGCTTTCTCGGGTGTGATGGATGAAGGGGCCTTTTGGGGCACCTGTAAGGGACTTTTAGGGTTCCTGAAGGGTGTGTGTCTCCACGGGACAATTTACCGGTTTCTCTGTGGCAGTAGCGCCCTTTGAGAGTTTGGAGTCTGTGCAGGATTTGGGGGGTTCAGGTTTTGTGGAGAGGTTGCTGTGTATTCCAAGACTTGTTTGGGGAATCTCTGGAGACTGTGATCTCACGCGAGGGGATTTTGGTGTCATAGGCAGGTATCCCTGGAAGAAGGTCTCTGGGGTGTCTCTGAGGGGCTTGCCTGAAGAAGCTGTTGGGGGGTGTCTTCCTGGGTGGGGGGGGAATAGGTGTCGGGGGGGATTCCCGTCCGAGCAAATCTTGGTAACAGTCCCCACATGGGAATGCCTGAGCACCTGCTGTGGCTGCGAGGCTGATCCTTTCAGGGAGGTGGGGGGACTGACCCATTAAGGGTGAAGAAACAGGCTCTGTGAGCAGCAGGGATGGTGTGCAGCTGGGGAAAGTTCCACTGCCAGTTGACTGGTTCTGAACCTTCCAGCACCCGTCCTTTCTTCTCCATGCGCTGGCCCCTGCCTCTGCCTTGGTCTTTCTGACATGCACATCTGAGCATGCACTCTGTTCACCTACCCTCCACGACCCCCATCCTCTGCAGGAAAAAGACTCAACCTCCAGCTGGACACTGTGACCTATCCTGGGATCTGCCCACTCACCACTCCCCACCTCTATCGTGTCATCTGGCCCTCATATCAACTTGCCTTGTCAGGCTCAGGATGTTCCCTCTGCCTGGCACACGCTGGACCTCCTCTTGCCTGGTGATGCCTTATGATGTTGCCTCCCTCGGGACCCTTTGCAGAATTTTCCTACTCAACACCTTCCCACGGTTCCTTGTCGCCCTTAGAATCGACACCACCTGAGGTTCCTGACTGTGTCCACAACCTCTCCTCCTTTCCTTTGTCACTCTTCCAGCTACACTGGCCTTGCTGTTCCTAAACATGCTCGGCCCCAGGGCCTTTGTACTTGCTGCTCCCTCTGCCTGGATCCCTCTTCCTTGCTATTCATTGTCATCATGCCATAGCTTAAATGTCATCTTAGAGAGCCCTCTCCTGACCCTGTGTCTCTGTACACTCTCCAACCTTGTTGCTCCTTGGCAGGATGGCCAATATTTGCTGAGTGCCCGCTCCATGCCAGGCACCATGCTAAACATGACTTCTCGAAGCCCTCCCAACAACCCTATGGTGTGGGTACTCTCTTGTCCCCACCTTACGGACGAGCAAACTGAGGCACAGCAAGGTTTCGTCGCTCGCCCAGGTCGGGGGGAGTAGTGGGGACAGGATTTGAACCCAGGCAGTGTGGCTCTAAAGCTTGACTTGTAACCGCTAGCGACATTCATCGTTTGTAATGATCTTGTGTGTCTGGTTTATTGCCTTTTAATTCTTGAGTCTCTTTCGCCCCACTAGACGGCGGGCCCTGTGGGGACACAATGGAGGCTGTGTTGGTCTTAGTGTCACTGTGGCCCTGGCCTCCACATGGGGTGGCACATCGCAGGAGCACAAGATATGTTTGCTGGCCGGCACGCCTTTCCCTACCCCCTTGGGCTCGCACAGGCCCCAGCTCTGCCTCATTGAGCCAGAGTGTCTGTGCCTGGCTGTCCCCCCTGGGGATGGGGCAGGAGCTGGGTCTACTCGGAGGCAGCCTCCGAGATGGCCCAACGTCCATAGGTCTTCTCCTATGATCCCCCCTGCTTTGAGAGTGGGCTGGATCTAGAGACTTGCTTCTAATGAACAGAATACAGCAAAAGAAATGGGCTGTTACATCCGAGGTTTGTAATATGCACAACTGTGGTGCTCTCTCAGATCATTCCCTCTGGAAAAAGCTGGCTGCTGTTATGCAAGGCAGTCCTGGGGAGAGGCCCACGTGAGTGAACTTGGAAGTAGACTCTCTCCCAGTGAAACCTTGAGATGACCTCAGCGCCAGCCAATACCTTGATTGCGGCCTCATAAGACACTCGAACCACACTGCTAAGCTATTTCTGGCTTCCTGACCTTCAGAAAATGTGTGATAATAAATGTTTCCAGCTGGTAATTTTGGAGGCAATTTGTCACACAGCAATAGCTAACTAACACAGCTTGTATGGCCCTTTCTGTGGACCAGGCCTTGTGTTCTCACAGTCCTATAAAGAAGGAAGGGCGCCTGGGTGGCTCAGAAGGTTGAGTTTCCGACTCTTGGTTTCTGCTCAGGTCATGATCTCGCAGTTCGTGGGATCGAGCCCCACGTCGGGCTCTGTATTGACAACTTAGACCCTGCTTGGTATTCTCTCTCTCCACCTCCCCCTCTGCCCCTCCCACCTTCGCACTCTTTCTTTCTCTCTCTCTCAAAAATAGATAATTAACTTAAAAAAGGGGGCGCCTGGGTGGCTCAGTCAGTTAAGTGTCCCAACTCTTTTTTTTTTTTTTTTTTAATTTATTGATTGATTTTGAGAGGGACAGAGATAGCATGAGTCGGGGAGTGGCAGAGAGAGAGAGAGGAGAGACAGAGAATCCCCAGCAGGTTTCGCACCATCAGCATGGAGCCCAGGGTGGTGCCCAAACCCACGAAACGGTGAGATCATGACCTGAACCCAAACCAAGAGCCAGATGTTCAACTGACTGAGCCACGCAGGTGCCCCCTAAGTGTCCGACTCTTGATCTCCGCTCAGGTCATGATCTCATGGTTCATGGGTTTGAGCCCCATGTCCGGGCTGTGTGCTGACAGTGCGGATCCTGCTGGGGATTCTCTGTCTCTGTCTCTCTGCCCCTCTCCTGCTCACGTTCTCTCACTGTCTCAAAATAAATAAATACAACCTTAAAAAAAAAAAAAAAAAAAAAGGATGCCTACTAACCCCATTTACAGGCACGGAGAGACGAGGTCCCTTAACTGGGAATGCACAGGCAAGCAGGGCAGGGCACTGGAGTTCACGTTCTTAGCCCCTGTGCTGTGGCAGGGGAGCTGCCTTTAGACCCAGGGTTCAGAAAATCTGTAAGCACCCGACTCCAGTTCTCCCACCCCGTTCTGTATCCTGTATTCGCGGCGTGAAATCTGATCACATTTATTCTTGTTGGTTTCTTTCTGCCCGGGTGTCCTGGAGCTCAGGGTGAAAACATGAGGGGCAGAAGGATGAGAAGAAGTCTCATTCAGGAAGGGCCCAGAGGCGCACAGTGGCTTCTTTGTCCCCAGGGTGGGGGTGGCTTGGGCTGCTGCCAGGCCGGGGCAGCCCAGGCATGTGGCTGGAGCTGAGCACTGGAGTCTCCTGTCTGCCCACGTGGGTGTACTCCGGAAAGGATGGGGGCGAGGGCAGGACGGGACAGGCGGTGAGAGCTGGGCCCATCCCGAATGCTCATGTAACCTGATCGTGACCGGCTATAGCCTCAATTCCTGTTTCTTGCAGTATCACCAGTGGACAGGGTGGGGGTGGGGGCCCTCCTTGCAGGGGCTGCTTCCTGTGGTTCCCAGCCTTGCTGAAGGTCCTTTCCCCATGGCTATAAAAATAATACCAGCTTCTGGGGTTCTTGGGGTGCTCTGTCAAGTTCACTCACGGGAAGCTCTTAGAGGAGAGCTGGGTACCCGGTCGGTACTCAGATGCGTTGGTGCTGGTTGCTGTCGGCTGGTGGGGGGAGGGGGGGCTTGGTGGCTGTGTAAGCAGATGGTTGGGAGCTTGATGGCCAGAGCCAGGGTGGACCTCAGCTCTGCCCCTTGCTGGCCCATGGAAAGTTGCCCTCTGAGTCCCAGTTCCTTTATCTATAAAAATAGTCCTTATGTAATGTCTCTCCCTCAAGAAGCATGAATTGAACACCTCTTGTGTGCAGCATGGGCATATGTGGCAAATGCTCTATTAATGCTTTGTTAGGCCTCAGGAGGAGCAGAGGGACCCTGGTGGGGGTCCTGGTTCTGGGCTTCTGCCCTGACTTGCTGTGTGACCTCGGGCATGTTAATGCACCTCTCTGAGCACCCGCCTCATCCCGTCATCTGTCACATGGGAATTTTAGGACTCTGCTTCAGAGGGTGGCCATAAAATTCGCACAGCGCCCGGCACATAGTAGGTGCTCAATAAATGCCGAGGCTGCTCACCTCAGCTAGTCTACTTATTACCGAACGGGTGGGATATCAGGATCTGACCAGGGAGGGCGTCTTCTGTCTCTTTCCCAAGATATAGTTACAGAATCTGCACAGACCTTCCTGCCGTCCGTGCCCACAGGTGGCCGAACATTCTCCGTCATATTTCTTAACTGGCACTTTCTTTCCATTTTTACTTGTCATTTTTACTTTTATGAAAGTCATGCAAGCTTCCAGATGAAAGATTCTCAGCCCTCTACCTCATAAAGCCACTGCAAACGTTGAATCAACAAATACTGAGCTATCATTCCTGGAGGAAATACTGGGTTAGGTTTCTGCAAACCTCCTGTCACGACATTTTTATCAACCAATCAGTACATGATCTTGTTTTATGT